TCCCAACCCAAACTCAAAGCCCCCTAATTGTAGGAAACTTTTATATTTCTGTGGGAATTGAATCGCACAATGTGATTTTGTATTATAGCATTATAGGTAGATATGCTATATCTGCTCCCAATTTGCATAACCATTCAGAAGGTTATTAGTTTTGAGAGTCCGTGAGAAGCGGCATGTCCTTGAGTTCTGAATTCGAACGGAGGCAAAATAACCTATATCACATTATGCGAGGACAGGCAGGCGATTCTCCCTGCGAAGCAGGATTATGGGGAGCAGGATTTCTGGGTGGAGAGAGTGCACTATACTATACTATATAGATGCAGGCATCGATATGCAAGGCAGGGCAACAAGTGCGTGCCGATGAAATCCGATGGAGGAATAATCAAATACCAACATAATACCCTTTATGCTAATTAAGAGCAAAAGGAAAATATTTTCCAGTATGTATCTACATATATTTTTATTCCTTTTCCACAAAAATTAAGCTAACCATTCTGAAGAATGTATTTCAATAAACCAATAATACACCTTGTTGTTCAGAAGAAACGACGACATGCTCATTATTAACTACTAAATAACTTTGGACAAATGGGGGCGGACGGAATGGACTGCAAGGAGGGGCACGGCATCTGAGATGCGGCATATGTTAACTTGCCTTTTGCCCATTTGTATCTCATAGATACGCAGGCACATGGTTCTCTCCGTTCGCATAACGGTGCATTTTGCTATGCGGCCCGCGAAAACTTTTCACCAACAACAACAACAATAGTTGTGGCAACAGCAACAGCAATTGCAATAGCAATAGCAACAGCAACAGCAACAGCAACAGCAACAGCAACAGCAACAGCAACAGCAACAGCAACAGCAACAGCAACAGCAACAGCAACAGCAACAGCAACAGCAATAGCAGCAACATGCAACACACACAGCAGCAGCAGAAGAAGACGAGCCGCAAACGACGACCTTTTCAAGCCCTAGCGTCTGGTTTTTATCAGTGCTTGGTAAATCTGCAATGCCCATCTACAATACCCCCATAGCCCATGGCCTCGTCTTTCCTCCCCCCCAAAAAACTGTGGTGGCACCCGCCCATGGAACCATTGCACTTGCCGTTGGAAATTAATTTTCGTGCAACAGTCGGAGTTGTCTAGAACAATAGACAAACAGTTGCGACGACCACAGAAGTGCACACGGAACCCTCTTTTAAGTAGTAGTGCCCCTTTCTGAGTGGATAAAAGGGGGGAAAGAGAGGGGGGAGGAAGAGCACCCCTTTCCCCCCTTCAAACACACTCACACACGTAGATCCACTAAATCAAAAGCTGAATTGCTGACAAAATTCACACACGTTTTCCTGGTTCTCTATCGACAGATGATGATCTTGATTACAAATTGGTTATGGATGCAACTAGAGCAGTCATAAAAAAAACTTTCGAGTAGGATCTTAATTTGTATTCAGCATATAGTTAATGTCATAAAATCACTATATGGTACACATAGACTTAGTCCGCAACAGAAAAGTCACTCGCAATAAATGCCGATTAACTCGGCGAAAAACAATCCCAGCGGGACTTATTGTTTGGCACTTGGGATCTTTGCAAACAATGCCTGAAAAAGCCGGTAAACGATGCCAAGTTGATCTCATTACATGATACATTGCCTTCTTAAAAGGATAAAGGGTTAGGCACTTTCACCCTTTCGCTGCTGTTTTGCCAACTTTCCATTCTTTGGGCTGGCAAAATGTTCTTTTTTGCACAAATAGGATTTGGGTTTGGGTTTGGGTTCGGTAATGGTGTAATGGCAATGGTAATGGTAATGGTCTTTTTACTCGGTATCAATTACCACAGAATGCCACTTGAAATTGTCGCAAATCGCACAATGCGAACAATCAAATTGATTTTGGCAAATTTGCCAAATCACACACATCTTCCAAAGGCGAGATGATGATACATCGAAGGACTTGAACAACCCCCGAAGATTCGGCAGTTGTTTCCACCGATTTGCATAATCATAATCTTGAGGGAAGTGTAAGGGTTGATCGGATCGGAATCTCGGATCTTGACGATCCTTTTCCCCTTGTCCTTGCCGCCGCGTTGATTCCGATTTCAATACACTTCCGATGCAGGCCATATTTGCATATCAATGCGAGCGGATATTATTTATTTCCATTATTTTCTGTGTGTATTTCTTATTCTGGATTTCGCCAGTCTCTCTCGCCTTTAATGGGTGCAGATGTCTGCCCGATCGATGATGCCTCTGGCCAGCCCGATTTTCTCATAATTATAAATGCAGGCCCATTTCTGAGCCGGTGTGTCGATATTTCAGACTTTGGGTCTACTTTGGATGGATATGAAAATACTCTATACACGGCGTTCCTTCCTTCGGTAGCTGCTCATCATTTACATAACCGAGAAGCCTATTGATTGAATCCTGCTTCCTTCCTTTCTCCTCTTCAAATTTGGTGCAGTTTCGTCAGTTTGTTTCATATGGTAATCTCAGACAGCAGCTGAATTCCATCCGCCCAAAAGGTGAAACGAAAATCAATGACACTTGATGGCCGCAGAACAAGATCCAATTTTATAGAATTGCTTACAAGATGTTACTTTACTCTTTGGTGAAGTGTTTGCCCATCCAAAATATAGTTCATTTGATATCCCTGCAGAGTATTCATAGCAATAATACAAACTCCCTTAATACATGATAACTTTATAGTTTTAAATAGAATTAAAGGAAAAACCCGCCACCGGGGAAAAAACTCATTCGGTTCGCCACACTTGACCACTCACACGAACCTATAAAGGTGTATATATATGTACGTAATCGGATATATAAAAACGTATTTTTACATAACGAACCTTACACACCTTCATGTGCCTATATAAAATGCTAATTTATGGCCAAAACCGATCTATTAACTTGAATGTCAAAATAAATGCGACCAAAGCAACCCCCATTAACATGGACGACCGAGCAGCCAAAAACGCAGGGGTCAGTCGAAAGTCCAGCTCGGGGACTCAATATGCCACCATTGGGTGTCATTTGATTAGCATAATGCAACTATAAATGTGCCATAGCTTACTTTTTACCAATACACCGAGCTTTTATCGCGACCCGGGACATATATATATATATATACATATATATACATACGGCTTGATATATACCTTTAGCCTGTGTTAATGTTTTAACGTTTGGCCCGCCAGCCAGGTGGAAAAATGGAAATTCGAAATGGGCGAGAAATGGTGAAAAATGGCCGCTCGAATTAGGAGGAAAAGTAGTGTAATTTGAATATTTATTACGTTATTAGTGGTTCAACATATGCTATTGGGGAGGATTTTCATTTAGTGACACAATACGGTTTAGTTTTTTTTGGGGTTCTCTGTACTACTTTTAGTTTGAATACCAGGCAGAGAAAAATCATATTGCTTGTAAAAAAAAATACTAAAAAACATTAAGTAGGTATAGTATGATTATATAGACATTAAGCTTTGCTCTGGAGTAAACTAGAATCTCCCTCTTCCTTTAATTAAGGGAAAAAGTTGAGAGGCAAGATGCTCGATGTTCTTGACTTCTCTGGGACTCGCCTTATCTGTCATCTCGCTCCATCATCAGCTTATTCGCTTCTTCTAGCTCAAAATTTATTGTTCACTCCGCGTACGTGATCACCCATAATGGTGTAATAATTTTTATCAAGTCCACATCCCCACAACTCCCTTATGACTTATGCGTGCGCTGCATTGGGACGGACGACGATCATCATCGTGATCATCGCGAGCACAATGATCGAAATCTTTACGCAGAACTCCCTCGAGAGTCTCGAGCTTTTGGCATCGCGGGGGCACGTGTCGGTATTCAGCCCGACTTTCTGGGATCATCATCATTGTTTGTCTATCGATATTCGGGTTAACGATTGCCGCCAACCATGATCGACGTGCCAAATTGTGATAAATTCCACTAAATCCCCTTGGGTAGAGCCGCCGCTTAGATTTTAGTTTTAATAGATTTACAATGGAAAATAGTCTAAATTCTTATTGCCATAACATCATTTTGTTACTAGTATTAAGCAGTCGAAAAGATTGATGGCTTTGGCTAACCCGAAAATTATCGTATAACTTCGAGCTGATAAAAAGGGCTATCCCACCTTTTAAGCTGAGGCGCTCAAAAGGTGAGAGACCCCCATTAATACACCGCCCGGTATGCCCAGACATGCGTCCAAACTGCCAGGAGACTTAACCCCATTTAACACCCCCGTTTTTCGTTGTTCACCGGACTGTTATCACCTTTCAATAATAAAATGCACATGACCAATTGGTGGCAACAGTCGTCGAGTCGAGGAGTCAAGTTAACCCAAACGAGGGCTAGAGAAATGACTTCAATTAACCATTTAACTGACCAGTGACTAACCAAAAAATGGTTAGTTAAAGGGGGGTTGGAAACAGAAAAGAATTCGCTGGCCAGGACACGCACATCGTATCACAGGGGTTGAAGGGTTGACAGGTCCTGAAATGAAATGAAATGTGCGCCGTTGTGTTGTTCGTTCGCTTGCGAGTCAAAATGATCGTGGCGCCACCTAGTGGTCAGCTAGGGGAGTCCTTCGGCTTCAGTTATTTCTTAACTTAACTCCCTTTTACCTTTTTCTTTTTTTTTACTTCAACGGGCAGCCGACGGCTTATCGATTCGCATAAATTAATTTCCATTTAAAACGAATACGAATAAAGTCAACGTCGGCATTGCGGGACTTTCCTCTTTGTTGGCTATATTTTTTTGGAACAGTGGCGGCGATTTTTGAAGGGACCTAAATAATCTTACATCTATTTGCAGCTTGAAAGTTTGTAATTGGATAAATAGAAGACAAATTAATTATTATTATTTTCCCTTTCATTCCGAAACACCTGTACACCGCCTCTGTTAAAAACAATAGTGGCATTTTCCATATGTATCCACGAATATAACTTATACATATTTACATTTCGTGTGTATATTTGCAGCGTATTTGCACACATCGCCGATAGATGACGAAAGACGATGGGGCTAACCTACACACATTGCATGTGAGAACTTTTGTTCTAGAAGTCCGAAATGTTGTAGCACCAAAGCGATGGAACAGTGGAGTAAGTTCAATATATTTCTTTATATAAAAAATAAGGTATTTGATATTATTAAAATGTGATAAATTGGTTTCATTAACAAAGACTAAATTTCATCGGAAAAAGTCAAAGAAAACATAGAGAAGGGTTTTCCCTTTACTGAAGGGACTGAAATGAAGCCCACTTCCGAACTTCAATTCATATGCAAAGTACCTTGAACACTCACAAAATTTATATGTATTTATATAGACCCAAATAAATAGGTATAAACTGGACAAACAGGACTCTAGGGAGATATTATCCTACTTTTTTTTTGGCCCATAAGGGAAAAGGGCAAGGAGCCAAAAGCTAAGCGCTTCGTTCGTTTAATTTAGCCTCGTTCATTATTGTTACCAACTATTCGCGGTTGCTGTTGCCGGTGGCTTTAACCTGATACCCGAAACCGACGACTGAATGAAACCCCTTACAACTGAACATACGAATACGAATACGTATACGTTGTGATTTTCACGGACTTTCAGCTGCTTTTCCGTTTTGGCAGCTGCCTTTAATATTTATTGTTAACAGGCAATTTACTTAATTATAAAGCTTTACAGTGGATACAGTATCATTACCTTTCTATTTTATTACAATATTTATTTTTGTGGTCAAAAGTAGATAAATATTGATTGCCTTTTTTGTTCTGAGCTGCTTATTAAAATTGCGACTATAGAACACTTTTGACTGTTTGACACACTCGCTTAGCATACTATATAATCCCGTTTATTTTCTTTCACCAAAAAATGGTTCCCACAGAATTACTGTATACCTAAGTTTCCGAGAACCCCATTAATAATCAAATGGTAAAACGAGAAACTCCAAAAAATACCGCCATATTGTTGTGAGCCATATTAAAGCTCCGAGTCAGGCCGTCTTTTTCGCTCTAGTACTTCCACCGTCTTCCCGTCTCCCTCGACCTTTTTTTTTTTGAATCTCTGTTGGATGTGTGTGAACTAAAATCATATTTTGTAATAAACTTGTACAGAGATTTAATTACCTACACACGTTGTATATGCAATGTCTCTGCCGAATGCCTCTTTTCGATCTTTTTTGGAACGGTGCTTTCTTGCCGTCCCACTTGCACACCGAAAGAGCCAAAAAATTAAACAGAGACGGAGAGAGAACCATTATATTTTAACGAGTTTAATTTGAAAAACCTTTAAAAGGTAATTAACGTATATTTTTGTCAGTTTTATGACAATTTTTGTTGCTTACGATGTTGCCTAAGTAAGGTACTCGCACACTAAAGGCAAAAAGTTATAACCATATACGAGATCCATATTTGTTTGACTTGGGAAGTTTTTGTTACTCTTTTTTGCTTTTTGTTTTTGGTTTTTGGTTTTTTCGGCTGCTACTGTGTGCTGGCCAAGTGCGGGGAGTGTTTAAAAAATTACTTAATTGCTGTCATAAACTGGTGACTTTTTCCACTTTTATTTCCTTTATTGTCATGACTCGAGTTCGCATAGTGACTGCCAGAAGTTAACTGACCACGTTACCGAAAGCTTTTGCTCGTCGAACAAAGATTATTTTTGGGACAGACTGTACTTTTGTCTGGCAGCCCGAAAAAACAGCAATAATAATAACAGTCGCCTGGAAAACTGGTTGTTAATAATAATATTTTATTGTTATTGCATTACCTACTAAATGATAAATTCAAAAATGTTGCCTCAGATTTCAGTACGAATAAAAATCGCGAAACAAAGGTATATGTAGTTTGTGATTTCATTTTTTGTTGTCGTAAAAATCAATGGTTTTGTTCTTATCGTTAAAAAACTTTTCCCCTCAATTAAAATAACATATTTATTGATTTATCGATTGTATTCATCACTTTTCTTTAATTGAACTTTTGGCTCGTTTATGCAGCTCTGCTGAAGCAGAAATGCGGGATTTCAATTTTACGGTTTCGGTTGTTTCATAAATTAAATTTAAATAAAGCCGAAAGTCACATTTACTTACTCATCATGTGGCCACTTAATTGATGTCTTTGTGTGTGCCAGGCGATCTCGTAGCTCTTAGTAGTCGATTCAGAATCAGATTCAGATTCGGGTTCCGATTCCATTTCCATTTCAGATTCGGTCTCTATGTGCTTTTAATTCTCTTATTTCAGCGATGTCTCATTATTTTGCTGCCTTCGGTTGGGGCTTTAATCAGGAAGTTTTTAATTGCGTCGTACGTTTTAACTCGCAGCTAACCATAACCATATCAACCCCCCTCCCTATTTACGCTCTCCTTCCCCGCCCCTTTTGGGCAATCATCGTGTGGCGTCATTTAATTGAATTATTTCGAACAACAACAATGCCTGCGATGGAGAAGGAAAAAAGCGTCATCAAGAAATCAAAAAAATAAAAAAATCAAAAAATTGCTGTGCTTGATTTTCGTGAATTTGTATTACCGTTTTGTGCCATATTGTTGTTGGATGTATATAATTAATTTTTAATTTGACTCGCAGAAATTAGGTAATAAAAATTGTAAATTGTAGAAAAATCCGGGGGTTTTCGAACGGGGGGTCTCCAGACTTCAATCATTACTGCCTCGAAAGATTGGGAGAAGGTTGGCAATTGTTTCGCCAGTTTATTGAGCTCAACTCCCTTGAAAGCCTAGTACACGTAAAAATTTTAACTACTCGAAACATTTTTATAAAATATTTAAGAAATGCGAATTTTATTAAGATATAGTTTTCAGATCTATTAAAAAAATATACTTGTCATTTATGTTACGGGTTTATTTTTTAAGAAAAATAAAATATTGCCAGGTAAAATTGAGCTGTTTAGTAAAAACCTTATTGTCTGGTTGCGTTACTTTTTTTCGAAGATTTTCTGAACTGCTCAATGTTTAGTTTTAATTATTTTTTCCTTTCGATTTTTTGGTTCTCGCTGCTATTGCATTATTAAAAATGTAAACAGCGTTTCTTAAGCAAGACTAACAATCTGCCGTTCGCCCTTGGACCCCTTTTTTCCTTAACCCCACTGCGGCCACCAGCTGCCGTTGTCCAGCAGGCAAAAAAAAAAATATATATATATAAAGAACAGAAAAAAAGTTATTATAATTTCCCCTTTTTTTTTTGCCTTTTTACTGTACACCCCCGGTTTTACTGTTTACAATTTTTCTCGTTTGCCCTGTAATCGCCTTCGATATTCCTTGACTTCGACTTCGACTTCGACTTCGGGTTTTGGACTTTTGACTTCGTCTTTGACGGAAACGGAAACGTAGCCAAAATGCGACGCCCTGCAGTCGTCCTCCGCCTTAACCCTCTGTTGCCCCCCGTCCTGATTTGTTGTTATTTTTCTGGTGTAACAATAAAATGTTCTTCCCCCTTTACCTTTTTTAATCCTTGTGGGTTGTGGGTTGTACACTCCTTACTGAGGCCAGAAAAAATAAAGGAAAAGGAATCAAAGGAATCAAAGGCTGCAATATGCCGCCCAGCTATGTTGACGCCGTCTTAACCATCTACTACATCCACCGCCCCCGCCTCCGCCCCCCATAAAAAGCCCAGCGACACCGTCTGTTGCTGTAGTTAAAAAAGTAGGAAGAAAGCCACAACCGACACCGGCAAGCAATTGTTATGCTGTGTTTGGGTTACTTCGCCTCCTTTCTTTCGGTTTTCGGTTTGGATTTTCCATTCTTCACTCTTTTATTCTTTTGTTATTTTTATAAACTTTCAATAAATTTGTATTTTTTCCCATTGGCTGAAGTGCGCTGTAATCAAATATGAGAGGTATTTCGCATTACGATATCCTTTAGATTCCAAAAAAAACAATAAATTACATTTTATTCAAAAAATAAAATTCGTTTAACTTGTAAAAAAATTTGATTTATTTCGGCTTGTAGAACCTATAGTTTAAATTTGCATTTTATGCTAAAACTTCCCAAAGATAAATAACAAAACCTTTATTTTATTATTTTCCATAGAGAGCTAATTTCCGTAGCCCGTATTTTAAGTCGCTAAAACATAACATTTTGAGTTAACTTCGGAGAAAGATTTTGTTACACAAGTTGAAATTTCTTTGGTTTTTTTGTTTTCCAACTCCTTATTAATTTTGGTGCAATTTTTCGCCCCTTTCGCTGGCGGCCCCCTGGAAATCCCTTCACTACGCCCACTTCCCTTCCTTCAGACTTCAGACTCGTGTTGTTTATCCTTGTTGTTTTTGGTGGGTGGCCGCCTGCTGCTTATCGTAATTCATTCTTGCATTCTTGCTACCCGTTCTATTTGGCTAGCGATTCCTGGCAAGGCGGTCCTACATTAATTTTTATATTGAATCCTTTTTTTTATGGACTTTCGACAGACTTTTCCGCCCACCCACAAAAAATCAAAATGTGTTGCGTGCGACGGATCGCGTTTTATCCCATTTCCATCTATCTTTCGCTTAAATTGTCAGTTAAGCGACTTTCGAAAAAATAATGCCGCGACAAAAGCAAAACTTTACACGCACGAAGCTCGGGGCTCGGAATGGAATAATACTTGGGTACTGGGTACTGGATAGTGGGTACTTGGTACTGGGATTGAATCGGATGGGATTGGACAGATCGGATGGGTTCCCATCGTGGCTTATAATTTGCGATGGGAAATTGAAACCCACGGAGAAGGGGCACCTGTACTCCATGGATGCGTGAGTAATTTCTTATTTTGTTTCCCACCATTTGATGGTTTTTTTTTTTTTTTTTTTGTTCTGCTGATATGTTTAGTCAACTTTTTAATATTGTTTGTACTTAAAAAGCACTTAATATATAATATTTATATGCATTTACATGAATTAGGTGGCGTAACTTCCCTGTTAAAGTCGAGTGTTAATAAAGGTCGTATATCTTTTTATCCAAAGTGACTTTTTCAGTAATTGGGGTATCTTGAAATTTCCCGGTAAATCCGTAACTCCGATATGCTCTCTGATCCCCATTCCCTTTTTGGTCTAGGTTTACTCCACGGATGTTGACATTAGCCCCGGCGATGATGCCCAGGGAGAAAAGAAAAGACAAAACAAAAAAAAAAAAAAACAGAAAGAAAGAAAGAAAAAAAGACAAACACAGAGAGTGGCGAGATGAAAGGTCTACACATGGAAATTAAAAAATAAATAAACCGAAATGAATTAAAGTGGGGAGAGATAGGAAAGACATTCACCCAAACACTCAAGACCCAACATCCACCTTTTAATTGTGGTAAAAATGGAGTAATGACGGAGATCGGCTTTCGGCTTTCGGAAGTTGGCATTTTGACTTAGTAGTATGTACTATTATTGTTATTATTTTAGTAGTTACCCGGAGCGACCTAAGACAAACAGAAAGTCTGCATTGCATGCTGCTGACACTTTCAGTGGCTGTCTCTCTGTTGCTTTTATTTAGTTCCCCTCTATTTTAACGTTTTTCATCGCTGCTCCCAAAAGAGTGACTTGGCTGGCTGGTGGGGTCACCACTATTTCTACGCAACCACATCCGGCGATCGTCTCTCTTTGGATCGTCTTATTCAGCTCGAGTTGGAGTTTCGGCTCCCACACACACGTGAGCTTTCAGCTTCTGAAAAGCACAGCATTTTCTGGGTCAGGTTGGGAAGAAGGCCAGTAATCACTTAAAGATATTAACCAAAACGGCGGTCTCCCGGCCATTTACTTGCCACTTTGCAAAGGAGTTGTTGACTGTGGAAAATGGGTGAATTAAAAAAAAATTTAACTTGTAGTTTGATTCCCTATCAAACTGCGTAATTAGATCCCAGCACTTCTGAACCCTTAATTTTTCTAATTTTTATCCGATTTACAAGTGGCATATCTCTTTAAATTTGTTATAAAAATATCTAACTAGCTGCATCATTAGTTTATTATCAATTTTTGATCAATGTTCTGCAATTTTTTATTCCAAATTAGCAAGTTTTATTCCAAGTTTGCAGAAAAGTGACACAAACCCAGAACTTCTAACCCCAAAACTTTTTCATTTCGATCCGATTTTGAAGAGGCATACCTCTATGAACTGAATGTATTAACCATTCCCAATTATTAACTACTGTTTCTTATATTTCCTGCACTTCTTTCTTTTGCCAATTTGTTGTTTATTAAAATTCGCATGTCGTCGAATTTGACACACGCCTGTCAGACCCTGGAAATTACATTTATTTTTTCTCTTTCCGCATTGGTTTTTTTTTTCCTGTTCAAGGCTAAATCGTATTTGTTTTTTTTTTTTTGGGAATAAGGATTTATTGTTTGATGGCCGTCTGGTGCTCGGCAATCGGGAGTTGGGAGTTGGGGAGTGCAGGGTACTGGCAAGTCCATCAATCATCAGTCACACATACAAGCCGGAGCAGAGCTGCGCACTCAACGTAACATTCAAATCAATCAAAATGCGACTGCGACTTCTAGCTGTAATGGTTATATTTTTTTTCTGTGGGGGAAACTCGAGTCCTTGGTTGTATGCAAAACGCAAATCTAATTTTTCATCGAATGTGTATATGTGGAAAATAGTTCATGCAAGAATTTTTCCTGTCCTGTGTTCTTTCGTCGCTGATTAAGTTATTCGAAATAATGAATAATATACCCGATTTTGTGATGAAGTGGGGTGGTAATGCTCATATTGCGTGCTCTTTATCATATCGAAAATTCATGCGATAGCAACTCCCATCTCTCGAAACTGTTTTCTTGGGTTTGGTTGTTATTTTCTGGCAAAGCAAACCCTGAAATTAAACTCTGGTTATCTAAAACAAAGTCATATTCTTTCAAATTCATTTAATCGGCAACTTGGAAATCAAAAATCTTTGTTTTTACTTGAAAAATTACCACTTTTGGTAAGAAAAGAAGTAGTTCTGGTGTTTTATTCCATTTTAAATAAATTATTGAATCCAATTTAAGTCCACTGCAAGAATGCTTCGTGTGAGAAAGGCCTTGATGATCGGAGGAGTACGATCCTTTCGCCTGGGAATGTCTTACCAGAAAACGAAAGGATGTGAAAAGACATCGGCAACTGTTCGCACCAGCACATTGCCAAACGACCAACAAACTGAATTACTTCCAGAGGAACCCGCAAAACCAGAAGAACTGATGCAGCGCTTGGGTCCAAAACGCAATGAATTGGAGCAGCGTAAAATAAGGAAGACCCAGTACGAATCTCATCTGAAAGAACTGCTCCACCAGAGGCCCAAGGATGCTGAGATGGCCATTCAGTGTGTGCCGTTTGTTAAGACGGCCGGTGGCTCGGTGAATCCCCTAAGGAACCGATACGATAGTCCAGAAGCTCTTCTGGAACAAGTCAGCGACCCCAAGGAACTGGCCAAGGAGCTGATCAAGTTGGCCAGGGCACTGCACACGGAGCGGCAGAAGAACGAAATCATAATGCAAAATTTTCTCGATCTAGAGGAGTCGATGTTTGTTTTGAAAAATCCGAATGGAAAGCCCAAGTAAAAGCTTCACGGGATTATATTTCCAAAATCAGAAAGTGGCAGTCCTTTGGTTTATGGAAAATTTAGTGTGAATCTGGAATCTGTATAGTTTTATTTAATATATATACACTCTTTTGGCAAATCTCGTATTAGTTTTATACAGGCAAGTGTAGTGTGTTCAAAGACCATTATTTATCCAATGAAAACATTACTGGACAATCCACCATATGAAGGGGAAATGGCAGGGATGGGATGTCACTTGTCTTAAAATAGCCGCGTGATCGCATATAAATTATAATTGAAATTATCCATACACTCGCTGGCTGATAAAAGCGCTGCCTCGGATCTCAATCTGAATCTGAATCTGAATCCGAGATATATGTGACCAGTGGAGGAGGGTAGCCGAAGCCGAATGCCGAATGGCGAATGGAATGGAACGGAACGGTGCTGTTGATGACTTGATTTCAAATTTGAAATGATATTTTAAGAAACTAATGCCCGTTTGGCTGAGTGCTTCGGTGGTGCGGGGTGGTGCGCGAGGTGGTGCGAGGTGGTCTGTCTTATTCAATCCCCCAGCCCCGCCGACTTTTTTCCAACGGATCTCCACCCTGCGACACTTCGTGGGCATGTTAAATGTCATTTAATAGTTGACAGTTGCACTTGCTGCTGCAATGATTATTGCAGTTTATTTTTTGTTTCTAGCAAAAATTTATGTGTAGGTGGTTTTAAATTTATGTGCTTGTCGCCGCTGACGCCAAAACAAGTCGCGAAAAATTCTTTTGAATTTGGTTCGTTTTTCTTTAATAAAAGTAAATTTTATTGCTTACACTGAAATTGCATTGCATTGCATCTGAGGTATTCTAATGCTCTCTGCAGTTGCAGATACTCAACGAGATCTGATACAACAAAACAAAATAACAAGAATAAAATATGCTGATGCAGATACATTTTTACCTGCGGCATTCATCGAATTTAATTGAGCATTTAATCAAGGCTTTTCTATCATACATTTTATTTGTTATTTAGAAATGTTTTCTTAGATCTTAGATTTTACCTAACTGAAAATTTAAATTTAAAGAAAATAACCCAAAACCTAAGTGTGTTTATGCTGCCCTAAAAACCTTTCCACTAACCGGCAATTACTGTGTGCGAACTTTGATCACGGATTTGATTTTCACGCGACTTGCCAGCGATCTCTTGGCTCTTTGACCCCCGACCAAAGGTAAAAAGAAAGTTTCTGTTGATTTTGGCAAATCATAAAAAATGGCGATGGTCATGGATCACAGCCCCCCAAAAAAAAACACGAAAAGCCAAAAAGCCAAGACGCGAAGAAGTCAAAAATACAGAGCGTACAGTCGCGAATAAGCCAAAATCAGTCTGTCAGTCAGTCGGTCAGCCAGCCAAGCGTCTCCGGTCTGTTGTCTTATCGGTGGCTGCTCAAATTCCACCTGCTCTTTTTCTTTTTCTTGTTTTTTTTTCGAGTGTGCGCCATTTTTGAATTTCGTTTTCTGGACGAATGCCTCTAATATGAGTTAACAAAAACCAAAAACTACATAATATAGAAACAAAAACAAAAACAAGAAAAATGATAAACCATAATAGAGAACATAGAAAATGGGAAAGAAATGAAAAATTTTTCAAATTTCATGCTCATTGTTAGTTATGTATTTTTTATTTTAGGGTTTTGTTTTTAGCTAATTAGCGTAGCCCCTGGGAAATGAACGCGCGGAGTTTCCCCTGAATACGTAGTAGTACACACCACACCACACCACACCACATATAATCCCACATTCACATCCATATATATCCATATATCCAGGTTATAGTCGCTTTTTTGCATAAATTAAATATTTTTCGGTCGGCCATTTGCCGGTGGGTGGCTTTTTGGCCCAGTTGACTAGGCATTCGAAGGTGAGCCGAGCTCATTTCGGGAATCTCGAGAGTTCGTAGGGGAATGCCATTGGAAAATAGTGGAGGAAACCTGTAAAACCGTAAAACCGGGGGTGTGGGTTTATGGATGAGAGCTTCTCTGGAGTTCTCTGGTCTTAATTTCGAAAGATACGTCGTAATGGTGATGGTGGATATACTATATTAATGCCAACGATAGGCAATAAAGGCAACAAGACATGGGTATTCTGTTCAAAAATTACAACATTACCAAGCAGCAGCAGCGGCTAACATTATATTCAAATGAGCCCAAGTAAGATCGGAAAACCTAAACACCCCACTAAAAGTCGTGCAACGAAGCAGATGGATCCGAAAGTTATTAAAGCGTAGACCCCGCTCTCAATGCGTACATACATACATTTAGTATATTGTTTTAGTGAACTTTCAAAGCTAGATTCACACTATAAAAAAATTAGCTGCGCCGTTTCTTTCTGTTATGCTCGCATTATTGTTTTTTTTATTTCATATTTCACAATGCCATTGTGGCTGCCCATTTGGTTGCCCATTTGGCGGGTTCAATGTCTAATTTATGAAAGTTAGCCTGACTTGACATTTATTTACGGATTTTAGTGGAAATCCACCGGAAATCAGCCAAGTGTTTCGCAGGCAAATATAACTAGGCGGATTGTAGATCGCAAAGACTTCAATCGAAGTCTGTTTTCGTTTTCTGATAAGATGCAGATTCTCTAAGAACTTTCACCGACCGTCGTATAATAAAACACTGAGATCTGAGGTTTCCGGGAAGAGGATATTTGTGTTTGCCTGTGAAATTTCGCGCTCACTTGCTGCGGTCGCTCGCATTTAGGGTGCTTTGTGTGCTCAATGGGCGAAGGCGATTACCAGACCTGAGGTTAACCGACGACCTGCCAACAAGGCCTTCTGAAATGCCGACAAAGGAGTGGCAGGATCATTGGATTTGTATTCGCATTTCCTAGGATATCCGGGGAGATCGTCACTCGACACTCGTGCCTCGTGACCCAATCCCCTTCACTTAACTTGACACCGATTTAACGCCTCTAATTGAGCCATAATGTCTTCGATATGGTCCAAATCGTAGTCTCGTTCGGCCTTTGGATCGCTTTTCGTGTGCCGACGCAGCGTTGAGAGTAAATCAATTTTTATGTCGCACTTGGCAGTTAAAGTGGAGACACATATCTACACGGAAAACAAATCCTACTCTCAGGGATTACTTAAAACCTTTAAAGACTCTCAGTTAGGCAAGACAAATTTTTTTCTTCGTGCACTTCGCTGCCATCGAAAAGATACAAAGATACTCGCGCGAGCCTCTAGTTACATTAAATATGCATCAAAAATTGATGATGATGCATTTTTAACGATTCGAGGAGATTTTTATGTCACCAGAAGTGCATTTGACAGAGCATCGAGACGTCTGATGTATAGGTCCAATACAGATCTCACATGTCCATCATTCCATGCCAGTCCATCACATTCGACATCTCCATCTCCATTTCCATTTCCGTTTATTTGGACTTGTTTGTCGCTTGTCTGCGCCTCAATTTGATTTTAATGGCCTTTTGATAAATTCCCCCTGGAGCCCGAGGTCTACTCCCCGAAATTCCTTGAAGAATTTCACTTCTGGATTGAGTTTGGATTGGATGGCTATATATATGTAAGGAGTACGTGTGTGCCCTTGGACCGGGTAGTACAAGTCATCAGCGCTGGGTGGCGCCACTTTGCGGTGTCTCACGCTGCGCGTTAGCCTGGACAGTTTGTAATTATTTCTGTGGCCAAATTGAATTGAATTAAAGCGAAGAGGTGAAGTGCACACGGAAAGCAAGAAAGGCAGAAAACATCGAGGCAGGGAATGGGTCTTTAAGCAAGACGAATCGACCTGTTGATACTCTGGTTAAAATGAAAACATAAGATATATTATAGTAGTAGTAGTAGAAGGTACTAGAAAGTAGTTGAAGTAGAAGGTAAATTAAGTGTATGAGGTAGTTTATTAAGTAACGAATCCAACAAGATTTTATTAGCTATTAATCCTATATTTAAACCTACGATACATTATTATGTAAGGGAATTTCCTAAATCAAGCTTCTTAGATCTTAATCACTACGGTAGCCTAATATACCCCGGCATAACTATTTCGATTACATAGCATAATGAAGCCGGGAGTCGAGCGCAAATGAACAACGAACTTTTTGGCCACAGTTCAGTGATTCTTGGGTGTCGTCGTCGTCATCGTCTTTGCTCTTCTGGTTTTCCTGGCTTCTTCGGCGGTGGTTACTGCTCATCGTCACCAGTCGGTGACGCCGTCTCTTGTCTCTTGTCTCTTGGTTGCACCTGTAGCGGTACTATGTAGGTACTAGGTACTCAGTCTACAGACTGAGAGACAGACAGATCCGCCGAAGACACCAATACCACCATCATCGATGGAGTCCAGGCATTCGTGGCCACCACTGTCACTGTCAAGCGTAATCATAATTTATTGTAATTATTTTGTATTATTTTCTAAAATTGTTTTAATGAGTCGCAGTCGCAGTCGCAGTCGTTGTCGTTGTCGTCTTTGCTGGTTGGTTGCCTTTTCTGCGATCGCTTTGGCGTTTTACTTGATTTTCCATCTACCAACAGAGTCACCTCGATCTGGCCGTAATTACATTATAGATATATTTCCATGCTGTGATTACCATCGTTGTCTGTCTTGTCTGTCGAACAACTTCCAACCGACCAACGACAACTGTCTCTCTTTTGGCATTTTGTCAAACGAAACAAATTTCATAATCGGAAGTGTTAGGTGGGCTGAAGTGTTTTCAGAGTGTGTGTTTTGTGCGGCGGGCGGGCTTCCATTATTTGGGCACTTTTAATGAGCCGCAATTATTGAAATTTCTCGAATGCAACGGCCCATGGGAGGTGTGGAGTTTGGCTCTCAGGGGAGGTGTTTGTACGTATTTCCTTAAAAAATGTTGATGGGATTTTCGTTTGGTTGAAGATTGTGTGATTAGTGCGATTGGTAAGGTTGTTGTTGTTGTTGGTTTTTTTCCATGGGAAAGTAGTATTTTTAAAGTTGATTTCAAATGGATCCCATGTGGATGATGATGCCAAAGCTTGATAATGCAAAAATTAATTGCTCAATTGGCAATTTTGTGGTTGTTGGGCTTTTGCTATACGCAAAATATTTAATATTTTAATATTTACGATGGTAAAAAGTACATTTTAATCATAATACTAAACAATAAATTAGTACAAATGAATTATTTGTTTCTCATTGTAATTGTATCTATTCGAATAGTTTTGGTTTTGCGCAAACGCTTGTCATCTTTTATTTTCTGGATGCTGACGCTGCCGCATCGCTGGCACTTGTTGATCTTGTGCAAATATTAAGTAGTTCCACGCTAAACAATGCGATCCCTGACAAAGTACACAACCTGTGCTCAGTCAGGGAGGTGTAGGTAGGATAGTAGGTATACACTTTTGGGTCTCTGATAAGCCTACTCGCATTTCGTTGCCCCTAAAATCCATTTGCTTGGACTTATCAGGCCCGGCTTGTTGCATGAATCGCGGGGGTGTTCGGCACTCGGTTTATTTAGTCTCTGTGGGCATGTGTCTCCGGTAAGAGCGATAAGATATAAAACTGAGAACACAATTCATTTCTGGTTACTTTTTTTTTTTTGTGTTTTGGTTGTGTTGGGTGTCGTTCAGCTTCAGTTTGGGTTTCACCAGCTAACCGCAGCATGCCAAAGCCATGAGGGCAATTTTCCAGGAATAATTTGTGATTTCTTTTTTCGGTTTTTTAGGCACTGTGAAATATTCTTAGAGAAATTTTGTCCCCTAGGAAATAAGTAAATAAGCGGAGTGCCTAAACAATAATAACACTTCACATTCGGGAATCATAGAAATTATTTCATTGTTTGCCCTCCTCAGATAAGGAATTCCACAGATTTCCACAAATAATGGAAGCTCAACCGAGAGAAGGAAAACAAGCGTTGAGTTTTTTATTCCTCACTTCTGACATGTGGTTGGTACAGTTACGAAAGTCAATAAGATTAGCATCGGCCACATCATCATTGTTCAAATCAAAAGATGGCCATACCAGGAATTGTTCTAGAAGTGTGATTACATATAAGCTGGATTCCATAATCATAAGACCTTTTTGTTCTACAAGAAATTGCTATTGGATATTTTATCAAAATATGATTTCTTAGAAGTATTTTTCTATTTTTATTTTTTCTTTCCTAATATTAAATCATACTTGTGATTCATAAATAAGATTGTGTGGTGAGCAAGAGCACAAAACTAAATAAACAAATAGCTTTACCACCTTTCAGAATTATGCAATTTAATATCGGTGTGTGTGAGTCAACTCTCCGAATTGGGAAGTTGATAACCTCCAGCCAACGCCGTATATTTATGGTACGCACTGCTCCGAACTCGCAGCTAGTAAAAACTTCTTGCTGTTCATCATCTATATCATGATTGTCGCCATCGTCGTCGTGCCTAGCTTATTATTTTTACGACTCTTTGTGCCGGGGCTCTGTCTTTTGCTCGTTTCCCCGTGCTTCTGGCATTGCAAAGTGATCTAAATCTATTGACTGAACTCCCAGAGAGGGACGACGTCGTTTCCACCTGAGAACTGAGAACTGAAAACTGAAAACTCCAAGAACTTAAGAGCAACGAGCGAATGGATTGTTATAATTTTCGTTGTTGCTGCTGCTGCTGCTGCTGGCTTTTATGATACTTTATTTTTTTTTTTTTTCCTGCTGCCGCATTTCTGGTTAACAATTTATGCCAGCAGCAAGAATAAAACTATATACACGTAAGGCCGGGGCTATCTGTGTGTGGATTTTTTATTGCCATTCATGCATAATGCCAAAAAGATAAATAACAAATAAATTTCCAACTATGATGTACCCGCTCTCGCTCCTTCCCACTCGCGGTGTGGTAATTATTAATAAATGCCTGCCTACCCTTTGTCCCTCTGGCGAAGCCGCTCTCCTTTCGGCTCTCTAATAATATTCACGCTTCGCTAAACATTGAAGAAAACTTAAGACTGCGACTAAGAAGACGAGAGCCGAGCCAGAAAAACAGTCGACGAGTCTACGAGTCTACGCGGCCTGAAGACCGAAGACTGAAAACTGGTGGCTAGGCCGTGCCCTTAACGTTCCAAACAGCCAAACAACCAACAACCAACAACCGCACCGCCACCCGACAACCAATTGTCTTTTGGCATATTTTCAAGTTGAACGCTCGCCGCGTTTTTTTTTGTTTTTAACCATCTTCCTACTACCAATTCTAGAGATTTTCTAGCCCGATTAAGCTAAAAACGAAACAGTCTCATACAAAATATTCCTCTCCCTCTCTGTCGACTATTGTGTGTTGGCCTTACTCATACATGAATATCGTGGAAATGGCGGTGAAAATGGTGGCTATTGCGCTCGAATTTCGAAGTGAAAATCAAACTTTAAATAGCGCTGGTCAACTGAAGATCAGAGCTAAGTTTAATGAGGATTACGAAAAGAATTTCGAATCTGCATCTTCAACAAAATTAGTATATTGGTATCGGAAGCATTAACTTAAATAACTAATCTATGTTTTGCCCAAGATTCGCTTCTTAAAGCTACTGCAACTCCAATAATAAAAGATCAAAGAAATCCTTTTAATGCAAAAACATTCTGCAAGCTGTCAACGGCTGCTGTCAGCTCGCCAATAACCCATTCATTCAGCCATTCATTCAGTCTTTTAAACATGCATTCATTCGGGCTGAGAACCCTCGATTGGGTTCTCTGCCATCACCCTCGCAATTCCGCAAAACTGCTTTGCATATTGACATCATCATTTTGCTGGAGACGACAAACTGTCAAACAAAACAATTGCTGTCAAATTTACTACAATGAGCGTACCGAAAAAAAAACAAAAAAAAAATGGAGCTGTCAAAGTTTTTATGGCAGGCCAAGAAGCAATTTCAACATATCAATAAATTTTGGACAATTCCCGAAGACACAAAAAGCGAAACGGAAAATAAAAAAAAATTGTGCAGGAGGAGTAAAGTAAAGTAACGTAACGTAACGAAACGAACGAAACAAATGCCAGGGAACACCTTTTCAATAAATTTGCTACAACTGTCAGCGAAACAATGTCATTGTCACGGCGCCGAGGTCCTTTGCCCTTTCCACTTTGGCTTTGGCTTTGGCTTGTTGGCCAACAACCTCCTCCTTCACTTCTATACTTCTATACTACTTCACCCTTTTCGAATACGAATACGAATACGAATACAAAATACAAATGTCGCGAAGAAAGCGACCTATAAACCTGTCACGGGACTTCAGGGCGCATTCAATTGAAGGCAAAAGACTGGGAACGATGACATTATTGTCGCTAAACAAACGATCAAATGGCAATTTAAAAGTTTTTATTTAACACTAAATCACCCACACCAACGACCAATGAGCCACCCACCAACCCATCAACCCACTCAACCCACCAACCAACCGCCGCCACCTGACGTTCGCTTTCTTTTTCAATTTCGAACCCTTTTTTTGGCCGCATAAGGAAGGCGAAGGCTCAACCCTTGCGCGATTTTCAATAACTTTTTGGCGGGTGAACAAAAGGCGCGAAACTTTAGTGGCTTAAATTATGGCCTCGTTGTTGCTCCTCAGTCTTTACATGTACTATTTCCTCCTCGTGTTTTTTTTCCTTTTTTTTTTTTTTTGGATTTTTTTCTTTGTATTTATTTTTTTTTTTTTTATTTTGGCTGTCAGTTTTGTGCTTAGCTTATCGAATGTCTGACTTTTGACTCCCCATGGAATTTGGCGCTGTTGTCTCTGTTGTTCTGCTGCCGCTTGTGATATGCATGAAATAAAAATTCCCGACCTTAAAGGGTGCGCTTGTATTGGGGATTGGGATTATTGGGAAGATGGCAAGGTTATGAGTTGAAGAAATTTGACACGGGGTTTGATTGCCGACCTTGTCGCGAAAGTTGAAATCCCTTTTGGTTGGGATACACCTGTAAGGCTGTAAAGCTGTGTGGCAACATGTGTTCAATGTCTGCCGGAATTACCGCTTGTGCAGCTTTAAATTTAAATTTCAGTTAAAAAATTAAGGTGTTTATAAGGTATATATGTACAATATGGGAATAACGGCACCATCAGCACCCAACTTGATAATTTATTGGTACGAAACAAAACAAACGTAATTCATGGATAATCCAGCAGGATTGCAAAAAGAGAGTGCCAAAGAGTAAGAGTGTGTGTATTGTCGTGTGGCAGGGATCAGAGTCATTGAACCGTCCAACTGATCAAAATAAGGAATCAATCGTCAAGTCTCATTTCCACATCTGAGTGGCCGGATTGGTGCGCTCCGATCTCTTGTCCATGAATGCGATGGTCAGGTGGCGTTTGGCCGGAGTGAGAGTGTGCTTCGACTGCTGCGGCTGGCCCATCAGAGCAATGCTGCCCAGGCTGCTGTCCACCGGGACGGATCGGTTTCTTCGCCGGATCCGAGGGCTGGAAAGCGAACGACTTGGAGAGTTTTTGTTGACGGTGATGGTAATCCTTCGAGGCGACGACGGGACCATGGAGGCGTTGGTGGGCTGGCGCCGGCGATTGTCTTGTTTGACCAAACGCTTGGTGCGTGAGCTCACCCGCTCCACAGAACGATGCTCCTTGATCTGCTTTGGTTTCTCCGACTTTCCCGGCTTTTCCATCTCCCTAATAGTCAGCTTTTGTGGCTGCTGTTGTTGCCATCCACCACGAGACCGGCGAAACACTCCCGATCCGTGGCTCAGTGGCTCGTCGATGGCCTCCTCGCGTTGCAAGTCCCTCATCAGACGCTCCTGCATGCGGCGATTGTGCCTCTGGCGGCTGGTGAAGTTCTGGCCACGTCGCATTTGGTGGGGCATTGGCTGGGTCACCGCCAGTCGTTGGCTCAGCTTGCGGGTCTTCTCCTTCAGCAGTTGATAGGGTGGTACGCCTGCCCCAGCACTCGGACGCTGGGTTGCTCCGGCGGCCCCTTGAAATTGGTAGGGCGTGTACCACGGAAAGCTTACGTTGCGCATTTGACGAGCCACGTGAGTGATCCTTTTGGGCTTCAATTTACCAGCACTTTTCCCCTTCTCCACTTTGGCGGCGCTCCTTGGTGATGACTGTTCGGTTTTCTCCCTATCGGACTTTTCCACCCACTCCACGTCGATTTTATCCAGTTTCTTGATTGCTTTCGCCTGACTTTCCTTCTTCTGCAGCTTGTGCCCATGGGATCCTCCACTCAAACGCCTCCTCTTGGTGCGTCTTATTAGCCAGGGCTTCTCGTAGGTTCTGTGCAGCAGAGGAATCTTCTTTTTGAGTGGCCTCCACTTCGATCTGGTTTGGGTCCTCTTAACCAAGTAAGATTTTACGGGATGATGTACGACAGGTTGGTGGTTTTGGGTGCTGTTTCCTGCTTTTATGCGCTGAAAGGAAGCATTTCTCCTGGCGCTGATTTTTCTTTGCGATTTTCTCGGGCGGAGGGGTTGGCCTATTTTCTGAACAGATGATGCCTCTTTTTGCAGTGAGGTTGTTGGCGAAGGAGATCCCTTTGAGGTGGGAGAGCGAGGTTGTAGGTTGTTCTGTTGATTCTTTGGCTCCCCGTGCGATTTCTTCTCTTCTCGTTGCTTAAGAATCTTTGATGGTCTGGGCCTTTTCAGCTGTTTCTGGTTGGACTTCTGAGCTTGGAGCTTTGGTTCCATTTCCATTTCAGCCTTTGGAATACGATTCAGACTCGGTCGAGACTTTTGGTCCTTGGCTTGGGGAGCAGGCTTGGTGAGTGGCTGGCGCCTGCGAGGACGCTTTGCGTGGGCCGAAGGAACGTGCAGCAGGATCTCCCTCCGCTCACCATTAGGCGGCAAATGCGTGTCGTCGATGATAACACCGTTCAGACTGCGACGACCTGCATCCGCCAGCTGGAAAATGGTGGTGGAGCACTTCCTGCGCAGCTCATTTTTCGCCTTTTTAACTGAAGTTAGCTTCCTAGCGCTCAAGGATTTCTTCGCTGGCATTTTCAATTGCGGCGGTGATACCTTCATCTGCAGATGCACCTTCGAGTTGTACGTGTTCCTTGGCCGGAGGTGATTGCCCCGGTTTCTGCCCAAGCGCGGCTCGTGGAGGACCAGATCATCGAAGGCCTCCTTGGACTGGGCAATCAGCTCCTGGAAGTTGAGGCGATCCGGCTTGGCAAAGTACATGTGACCCTTGTAGTCGGCCACCTCGCCGAGTGTGTGATGCTCGGCGACCACCTGGGCGACCACGCGCTTCATGCTGGTCCTGTTCAGCTTCAGATGATTGGCCACATTCCGAGCCAGGGCCTTGAGAGCACCACCCGAACCACCCACTTGCGGCGAGCTCCAGATATTCTGCTGCATGCCACTGAATGTTGAATGTTGGATTGCACCGCACCTCCGATGACTAACAAGAACGAACAACTAATTTGAATTTGGGCCGAAAGGTTCTTTTGGCTTACTTGAACTTTCTGCAATGTGTAGTGCCTTTTTTTATTGTGTGTGTTTTGTAATTTTGCTTTCAAATTTTATTTGCCTATCCGGTCCGTTTTGGTTTTTGAAGTCTACTGCAAAAATGGAAATCTTATCTGGTTTCGAAATTTTACAAATAAATGCTCAAGGCACTTGGAAAAGTATATATCCAAACGTATTAACCGGGCCCTACTGTCTGATAGCTCGTGGCCTGCTGAGCAGGATTATTATTATTATTGTTATTATTGTAAGAGTCATTAGGAGTGATCTTTTTGGGCAGCTGAGCCTGCTGGACAGGTGCCCCACCAGCAGTAGCCACGTGCTAAGAACGAAAACGAAACTATCCCCTATCAATGAACAGCCAACTGAGCGTCGGGAGGAAAACACAAACTCAACGGGGAAAAAAAGGAAGAGAGGTCAGGAGACCCAAGAAAACCATCGAAGTCGACCGCAAGACGTCGCAAACGTCAACAGGGGAGGAGGGAAAATTATAAATGATTTCATTAAAGCGAGAGAATCGAGAATCGAGGGTCAGAAGCGAAGGCCGATGCACCTGCGAGTTGCGAGTTGCTCGGTGGAGTGCGGTGCACCTTGGGCAGGTGAAGAAGCGCAGTAGTTGTGTCCTCTTTCCTAGGGGTGGGAAAAATGATTTACGCAATGAGCGAGGAGACACACACACACACAACACACACAGTTCTGATGATGATGATCCGCTTCAGTAACGCCGAAGGGGTACGGAACCCAAAACCCAACTGAGCCTGAGCCCTTTGCAATATTCTCGATATGGGAAGCCCTCTTTTTGTTCTCCTTATTTTACTATATATCCATATATATCTTTTTTTTCTCTTGTATTTTTTTTTTTTGCCTCGTTTGGGCCACTTAACCGTAATTAGGGCTTTTCAATATTATTAATGATGATGGTCGCTGGTCTGGCTGGGCCTGAAAATGTGGGAAATGCATTGCGAATTGATGACGACGGCGACCACCGCAGACAGCGGCGGACAATGAATGCAAAAATGCAAACACGCAAACCCAAAGCGCAACAATTTTCGAACAGCAATTTTAGTGCCGCTCTTGCCTCGCTCTATTTGACATGTTGTGTTTGTTGTTCTTGTTCTTGTTGTTTTTGTTGTTGTTGTTGTTTGTTTGCCGGTTGGGCCATCCCATCCATCCATACGTTTTTAGCGTTATCAGCGCAAAATAATCTTTCAATCAGCCCTATATGCTGTAACATTGAGTTTGGGCTTGGGTTCGGGCTTGGGTTCCTATTCCCAGTTACCAGTTACCAGTTCCCAGTTCCCAGTTACCAGTTCTCGGTTCCCTGTTCCCGGTTGGTTCTCTGTCCTGTACATTTTCTTTGTGTACTCGTACTCGGGTCGTTTGCAAACGCCCAGCCATGCGTGACGCCAATTGTTGAAGTTGCAGTTGCATTTAATGCGGCAGCGAAGAAAGGGGTTTCGGCACTTGAAGGGCTTGCAATTGCAGTGGGCCTACATCACCACAAAGCCCATCGAATGGAGAACTTTTTCGAGGGAACCCAAAGGCACTCACACACTTGTTGATCGGGTGTTGTGTGCAGCTTTAAGTGGTAAACCCATGGAGCCTATTTGTAATTAAATTTTAAAGCCATTTGAGTACTTAATCTTTCCTCAAGGACGAAAGTTGATTAGAGGCTTGAAGTGAACAACTCCAGCTAATATATATTATATTTAAAAACTTTAAGAGATTTAAGAGACTTTAACTATTTGTTACATTCACAGATTTTTGGTCAAACTGTTGCATATTCTTATATAATAACCTCCCCCTTTTTTGAGGCCACCTTCCATAGTTTTTGGCCCAATAGCGCCTTATTTGCTCTTGCGTTCGCTGACTAAAAAAGAAAAACGAAAAGACGGGGAAGAAAAAAGACACAGAGACTCGCGAGCGGGAATCATTTAAGCATTGCGGTGTGAAATTTCACACCGATTGCAATAAACATTTAACATTTCAGGCGGCCTTACAATAAAACTCGGAGTCGAGCTGAGTCGCCGAGCCGAGAGAAAGGCCAGAAAAGCGGCGACCCTTGCATTGGAACAAAATCAATCAACAGACGGGCTGCGCATGCGCGCACGCCGGATGTGGATGTGTTGGTAGCCCAGCAGCTACCGCCACAAAGTGAGGGAGTTAAGGGGTTTCCGCGGGTTTTCAGAGGCCCAGAGGCCTAGGGGGAAATCGGGTACTGCAGGGAACAACGTACCGCTGGTGTTAATGGTGTCACTAAGTACGCCACAACTGACGGCCACAGAAGCCGAGCTCTGATCATCGAATGGAACCAATAAAAGTCGCCTTTCCATTGTCTTTATTTGCGCGGCTCTCTGCGGCGCAACCTGTACTCATGTGCACTGAAAGAAAAACTTCTATAGTAAGAATGGAGTTTAAGAAATGTGTTTAAATTGGAAAGAAAAAGCACTTGGGAATTATAATCTTTTTTTTTCAAAGCATGCGCGCAAAGCATTTGCTAACAGTTGATAATTATTTAGAAAATTAGATAATTTTAAGAAGGAGCTTTCAAACCATACAATGTTTTTCTAACTGCACTTATACGCGGGCTCACACTTTAATTCGTGGCACTTCCATTTCCCATTTCATTCAATTTGCATTTGTGGCCAGCTCATGGTTGAATGGTCTTGCGGGTACCGCTTGTGGGGGTGCGATGAGGGTTTTTCAAGGGGTTTTATTCTGTTTTTCTGTTTTTTTTTTTTTTTTTGGAGTGGGTGTACGAAAAGAGTCAACCGGAGAGCCGAAACAATTCAATTGTCTGGCTGGTTGGGCGTTCGGTGTCGGCTTTCTTGTTCCATCCGCAGTTCGTCAGTCGCGGTACATTGCATATCACACGTCGTACATTAGCGCTGATAATGACGAATGACCACTGCAGGTTCGATTGTCAGAGTGATCATGACGATAGCTATTGACGTCAGTTTTGGTGTACTAAATGCTCCAGTGACTTCTGTTTTTCCCAACATCAGAAGCCACTCAATCGTTTGACAACTTTCGGTTCATGCAGAAAAGGATCAAGCCAATATATGTTCAATTATTTATTAGGTTTTTTGACTAACCCTGTAGGAAATTATACTTCCACTAAACAATGCCCTCTCCACAAAGTTTCCCGAGTGCTCTGCTAATATGCGGGCGCGATCGGAACCGCAAACGAAGCGACTCCAACCAAAGACCCAATGTTAATTGCACCACTGAGTCGCAAAGAGAGAGATAGAGAAAGAGTGAGAGAGCGAGAGAGAGAGGGGGAGACCTTCATACACATAAATATTTTTTCCAATGAAACATTTTTATGTTAATTCGAAAAATTGTTTTACAACCAATTAACTTAGCCAATGCACCAAAAAGATCAACGGACAAGATCGCACTGTGCTGTGCACCCGTTGTGGAGGGAAATATCCAGAGACGGGGGTTCGAATTCTGAAAAGGGGGGAGGGGGCCTTGGGGTGAGTGTCGATCGCATGCCGCTCGGAATTCCATTATGTGACTTGCCAGTTGATGGCCCGCAAGAAGACGTCTTGGCCAGCGGGCAGGCAGGTGCAGAGAACCACACCGAGGAGATATAGAACAACACAAAATACAGTATAACTAAGACGCAGCAGAACCCTAAAACTAGACGGTGGTGCAGGATCTAGTAGGGTGTGACAGTGGTGCTGGTGGTGGTTTACTTCCTTTTAGCGGGATGAATGTCCTGTTGCTGCGGGTCAGTGCCGATCTTTAAATCAATCAAGCGTGCCCAACAAAAGAAAAACAACCTGAAATCGAAGAAATTCTAGAGTGATGAGACTAATAATTACCGTTTGAAAATATTAACCTACAAACAAATAATAATACAAGTTAAATACGTGATAATATTGATATAGTTAAAATGTACAAGTAATAAAGAATTATTATGCCAGTAACATATTGTTTTACATCATTATTTATTTAAATTGAATTAAGACTACCTCAGTCACTTGAAAATGATCTACTTATGGCAATGCAAGTCAAGTCAGCATAAAAACCATATACCCTTAGGAGGGCAGGCATTCAGGAAGAGGAACAGAATACGGGAGACAGCGAAACCATTTCAATTAAAATGCCACTTGGGGTCGTGTGCTGGCTGGCTGACTGGCTCCTTAACTTCCCTACAGGTGAGCTACAGGTTACAGGTGCGAACGAACACCAGGTAACCTGACCTGCGGTTGTGTCATGTAATTAGGAACTTCCCCGAGGGGTTGGGCATTCGGCATCGCCGTACGATCGATCAATCGATCGAAACCGTTCAAATGTATATCAGATCGGCGCAATAAAGTCATTCGGCAGCTGCTGCTGCTGCTTCTGTATTTCAATTTTCGGGTTGGGCCCTCTCATTTCCATGTTTGGCCCAGTCATGAACTGGCTAAGTGGCCGCTCGTGATCTGCAAAAATTGAAAGAAAGAAACTTTCCCAAGCCATAAGATCCATAAGATCCGGCCAAGAGTAGAGGTCTTCATTATGACAGACTGACCGGCTATCTGGCGTTCGATCAGCTGGCTAGCTGGCAAGCTGGCTGGCTGGCCAGATGCATCCAGGAACTGCAGTCGGTCCTTCGTCCGCCGGCTCACATCTATCCACATGCATCGCCTCTGGATGCACTTCTTGGCCAATCCCAGCTAGCTGCCCGCTAATCTTGGCCTGCGAATCAAAGTCACGTCGCCGAAAACCAACCACGCAGTTTTATTTCTCTTCTATAAAACTACACGCGGAGAACGACGGAAAACAATTGAAACAAAATGTCACCAAATAAAATCCCAGTGCTTCAAGCAAAATCTAATATTTATTTTCTTGAGATTATTTATACAACATATTAAAAAAAATAGCTCTACTTGTTCGGAAGAGAATAACATTAAGCTATTTAAATATATATTATATTTTATAAGCGTACGTATTTTAATTTAATTATTACGGCTTAAACGAATTTGTTTTTGGTTGAGTCGAAATTTAAGTGTGCGTCTTGAGGCGTAACCCTAATTGCGACGTGTCAACGTATAGGTGAATTATGATATAGAAGTCGTACGAATATATAGAAGAACTTCGGCTCTGGCTGCGGCTGATCGCTACCTAGATAATCGCCCAGCACCAGTACCAGTACCAGTGCCAGTGCCAGTCTCAGGTCCCCG